AGCATGCTCAAGACCCTGGGTTTGACCACCACCATTGCAAAACAACAATAATAATGAAGCTATCTGGTCCTAAGCTTTTTTCCTTTGCTGGGAGACATTTATTAATACTGTTACTCATTACAGATCTGTTCAGGTTTTCTATGTCCTTAGGGTTCAGTTTTGGTAAGTTGTTTGTATGCAGTAATACATTATTTTAATCTAGGTGTTCCAACTTGTAGGTATATAGTTGCTCATAGTAGTGCCAAATGATCCTGAGTATTTCTGTGATATCAGTTGTAGTATTTACTGTTCTCATTTCTGATTTTATTTGAGTCTTTTCCATTTTTCTCAGATGGTCTAGCTAAATTTCTGTCAAATTTTTTTTTTCCAATTTGCATGGTATCTGTTTCCATCCCTTCATGTTAGTCTGTTGAAATGAGTTTCTTATAGTAAGCATCATTTGGTCTAGGTTTTTTCTTTTTTAAATCTATAGACAGTTTATCTTTTTTAATTGGGGAATCTAATTTATTTAGCTATTAATGAGAAATACAGACATATCCCTGCTGTTCTCTTAATATGTTTCTGGTTGTTTCATGCATACTTTGCTCCTTTTTTCCTCTCTTGTTCATCCATCTTTGTAGTTTGGTAATTTTCTGTAGTGGAAGAGTTTGATTTTCTTTTTCCCTTATCCACTTGCTTTACTGCTGAGTTTTGAACCTTCATGTGTTTTCATGATAACTGTTATCCTCTGCTTCACCTGTAGTATTATTTTAAAGCATTTTTTGTCGGTGCAGAAGTCCCTTCATTTTGGCCTTAGAAAGTCATTTGTCCTTCACTTCTTAAGGACAGTTTTGCTGGATGTAACATTCTTGACTAGCAAGTTTTTCTTCAGGACTCTGAATATATGACCCCACTGTCTCCAAGCTAGTAAGGTTTCTGGAGAGAAGTCTGCTGTTAGTCTAATGGGGATTCCCTTACAGATGACAAGATGCTTTTCTGTTACAGAATTTTTGTCTCATAGTCTGGTAAGGTGGTGCACACCTACAGTCCAAGCCTTTGGGAGGCTGAGGCAGGAGGATCACCCTGAGTTCAAGGCCAACCTGGGCTATATAGTGAGTTCAAGAACACTCTGTACAACATAGTAAGACCCTATTCAAAAAAAAAGTGTCTTGTACTTTTAACAATTTGAATATAACATGCCTCAGAGATATAGTATATGGTCCAATCTATTAAGGGTCCTATGAACTTCATACAATTGGATATGCATTCCTTTAAGAAAATTTTAAAAGTTTTCAGTAATTGCTTCACTGAGGTTTTTCTATGCCTTTTTTTTTCCTCTTCTCCTGAAATAAATACAAACATTTGCTCATATAATGATGTCGTCTAACTTTCAAAAGCTGCTTTTTCTCTCTTGCATTAATTTGACAGGGCTATTTCAAAAGACTTGTCTTCAAGCTCAGAAATTCTTCCTAGTGTTCCTTCTTTTTGCTGTTTTAAATGTTTGATATAATTCATCAGTTAAAATGTATATGAGCCTAGGGCCGGGGATTTAGCTCAAGTGGTTCTGGCGCCTGCCTCGCAAGCACAAGATCCCAAGTTCGATCCCTGGTACCCAAATTTAAAAAAAAAAAGCAAAAACAAAATGTATATGAGCCTGTTGTTGCCATATAGGTAGGTTTTCAAGCTAGGAATATACTTTCTTTAATAGGTGCTATTCAAATTTTATATTTCCTCCAGAATCAGTTTAATTTGTCTTCCAAGGTACTTCTTAGAAGTTGTCAAATTTATTTCAAAACAGATTTTTGAAATATGCTTTCTATATCCCTTTAAATTCTGTAAAATCTGTGGCAATGTCCTCTAAATTTTGATATTGTAATTAAAAATGTATAATTGATATTGTGTAATAGGAAGAAAAGGTCTAAAGGAGTAGGGGAAGTGGGAGGGGTAGGGGAAAGGAAAGAAAGGAAAAGAAAAAATATGAGAAAAGGAAAAAATGGAAACAAAGTCTTTGTAAATAGGGAAGGGTGGAGGGGGTGAAGGGAGGGCGGGGGAAGGGGAAAAAAATAAGAACCAAGATGCTCATGTAATGGTACAAGATCCTAATGATGTATGTAACTATATCTCATACCTAAAATGTACCAATAAACTTAATGGGGAAAAAAAAAGAAATTCTTCCTTATCAAGTCTACTACTGAGGATCTCAACTGTATTTTTACAACTTCACTGAGTTCCTTAGCTTCAAGATTTCTGATTCTTTTTTATGATCTCTTATCTCTGATAAATTTTTTATTCATATCATGAAATATCTCCAACTTCATCAAACTGTTTATATTCTCTTGAGTCGCATTAGATTTTTTTATAATCATTACTTTTAATTCTTTGTCAGGCAATTTGTTGATTTCCTTTTCTTTCTAGGTCTGTTGGTAGAGTTATTATATTTTGTCAGAGGCACCATGTTACTTTTTTTTCATACTTATGTCCCTATCTTATTATTTGTACATCTGAAGGATCAGATGTACCTCTACCAATTTTATAGGGTAAAAGATTTTCATAGTAAAAGACTTTCCAGTTGTGATATATCAGTTCCAGTGTGTTGGTTGGACATGCTGAGTTAGTTCCAAGTGGGTACCTTTCTGTAGTACACATGTAACTTCATCACTTCATCAGCAGTAATCATTAGTAATATCTACAAGTATGTGAGGGGCCTTGGCTGCAAAGCTTTTGGGACTGTACCACTGGTGGGGCAAATTTGTCAAAGATTCGGGGTGTGATGCGCCCAGCTGTGGCTCATGTACGGTTAGGGCCAGCCCAGTGGCCCAGATGGGTATAGCTCAGTATGCTCAGTAGTAGAGTGAAGCGCTGTCAGTATCTAAGAGCAACAAGGGGCCTGTGGCACATTAGTTAACGCACTGTCTGATGTGACTTCACAGAGGCCTTAGGGACCTACATGCTCAGGTCTGCCCAGCTGCTTCCTGGAGCCAGAGTGGTTGGGTGGGGCTGATGAATATGCTTCTCAGGGCCTTAGTGGGCTGATCTGAGAACTGGCTGACCACTTCCTGAGGCCACGGGAGGTTGGACAAAGTCATGTAGATGCTTTCCAAGGCCAAGAATGGGTGGAATGAGTCACCTGGGTGATGTCAGGGAAGTGGAAGGTAGGGGCAGGGCTGACTTTCTGGAGGCCTTTGTAGGCCAAGCTGCTCAGGCTGGATCACCCAGGTGCTTCTTGGAGCTGAGGGAAGGAAGGTGGGGGTGTCCCGGCTGGTTTACAGGCCTTGGTCAGCAGAGGAGCTGCCAAGCACTGTGCAGGAAGAACCCAGGTGTGGGCAGCAGTGTGGCCAGGGCTCTTTGTCCAGGGCGATGCAGCAGTGTGGTAGGTTAGTAGCTCCCTAAACTGGACTCACAGCCTGCACGGGACACAGTGTCCCTGGCCCTGAATGGCGTGATGAGGGACTGCTGGGGCGTCTGCTTAGGGCTGATCTTGAGACGGTATGGCAGATGCTTGTGCTTAGTTCCTATCTGTGTAAAGCTCCATGCACCGCAACATCTGTGTCATGGTCCACTACACTCTTGACTCTCTGCCTCAAACATTCAGTGAAGCAGCTGGTCCTTTTTGTAGGATGAAGCATACAAGGCACCTCTACTCAAAGCTGACATCGTTTCAAAATTCCTGGTTTTTTTTTTTCTGGTACTGGGGATTGAACTCAGGACCTTGTGTTTGCCAGGCAGGTGTGGCACCACTGAGCTACATCCTGGCCAAGATTCCCAACTTTTAATCTGCCCTCAGAGAGTCCTTGACATTATTCTGACCACTGCCTACATGGGAAGTGCCAAGTCTCTGGCATCTGTTAGCTTGACACAGATGTACAAATGTATTGAAGAGTAGGGTGTAACAAGCCCAGGACAGCAGAACCTTCCGCTCCCTTCCAGAGACTAAACTTCACCTGATGTCCGCTAACAAAGCAATAGCATTCTTAGCAACCTCATCCCATGATCACCTCTGCCCATGTCTACCATGATGTGATGGAAATAGCATAGGCTTTGACAGGAGACATGAGGCTCCCAAGCAAGCTCTGCTGCTTACTTGCTGTGTGGCCCCGGACAAGTTCCTGACCTCTGGGGGCCTATTTCTCACTGTACAACAGGAAAGCATTAGTTGGCAGAGCCAGGATCAAAAAGCAAGAGACCTGGATCCTTGCTCTCATGCTGACAACCAATAAGCCACTGGCTTTGTCCCCAGCCACATGACCTCTCTAGCTTTCATTAATGCATGTGTAAAATGAATCCATGGTCAAGCAGAAAAGCTTAAGCACAAAAGACAGGTAAGACTCATGGAGTTGGCATAAACATACAGCATTTTAACATAGGACTGGTGCAGAGAAAGCACTCAGAACACAGCAGCTGTTGTTACTGCTAACATAGCCACTGTCTTTATGAAGGCGCTTGGACTAGGTCTTGGACTTCATGACACAAAAAATGGTGACCATTTCTGCTGCACAGCACACTTGCAAAAAATGCAAATGTTAAAAATTTAATAGAACAAAACAATGTTTATTATTGTACAGGTACAAATCCTCTACGTTGAGTGTTATCATTATGTATATCTAAAACGTACCAATAAATGTTTTGCTTTAAAAAAAGAAACAAAGGAAATTTATAGAAAAACAAAAAACAGTAACTTTTATGATCTTTACCCATCCCAGCTTTAGCACCAAAGGAAATGTGATCAATGTTGGAGTAAAAACATTCCAGGTCTGAGAACAAGTGGTGGGAAGATAAAAGGATGCCCAGAGGAGAGAAAGGGGGCGGAGGGCAGCCAGTGGGGAAGTGGTACCTCAGGGCCACCTCCACAGGGAATTACATGGAGAGGAGTCATCAAAGGACAGGCACCAAGATGAGGGTCACGTGTATGCTACTGTGCCCCAGGGAAGGTGGGTACTGAGCATCCTGTGAAAACGCCAATGGAGCACAGACAGTCACGGACCACCAGGACTGTAGCTGACACCCCAGGGCTCTGAACTTACCTCTGTCCTCAGGAGGAAACCCTTTGTAGGTCAGTGTTAAGAGGCCCTCCGTGGACAGCTGGAGGCTCTTCTCAAATCCAACCGGCTTTTCCAGCTGCAAGTTCTTCAGCTCCTGTGTCTCAGACGTTGCCTCACAGCCAGAAGCGGGCTTTCCAGCAACAGTCCCACAGGCAGGCATGGTGCCACAGACATTGAACTAGAGGTCGATCAGTAAGGACCACAGAAGTGCAGTTAGGCTACATAACTTACCACAAAGAGGAGTTCTAGCAACCAAAATCCCACTAGTTAATTATCTGTTATTTATTAATCAATTTACCAACTCTCCATGTATGGGCAGATAAGTCCTAAAGTTAGTAGGTAAGGCAAAAATCAAAGTCTAATTTATAGCTAAATGGATGCACCTTGAGACCATACTCTTAAGTAAATGCCAAATTGTTTGTGTGGTGTGAGAAACTGAAAGTGTAAATGAGGACCAAAATGTGTAATAGATATTGGGAAATAGGAAGAAAAAGTCCAAAGGGGAAGT